GGCTAAGACAGAGCCAAAGCAGCTCCCTCCAGCAGCTTCCAAAGGGCAAGTGCAGCAGCAATCCTGGGCCAACCGTCCTGCCGGAGCACAGCCAGCACCCTTAGAACGACTGCAGCATTCTCACACATGCCTTCCTTGGAATCGACTTCTGATGCTGCAACATGGCAGAGCCCAGCACTGGCCACTGAGCTTCCTGAGCGACCACCAAGGTAAGGCACAGGGTCTTCCCCAGGTCCTCTCCCGTGGTTGGAGAGCGGTGTGCCCCCAAGCTCCACACACCGCTCTCCAACCACTGCACACCCCTTCAAAATTCAGCTTTATACACTTGACTCTGGGAACGACACACGTTACACGTTTCCCAAAATGATGCTGCTATGGCTGGGCCATGTCTCCACCCAAATCTCATCTTGAATGTAGCTCCCGTAATTCCCACATGTTGTGGGAGGGACCGGTGGGAGATAACTGAATCATTGGGGTGGTTCCCACATACTGTTCTCATGGTAGTAGTCTCACAATCTGATGGTTTTATCAGAGGAAACCCCTTTCACTTGGCGCTCTCATTCTCTCATCTGCCGCCATGCAAGATGTGCCCTTCGCCTCCTGCCACAATTGTGCCTCCTCCCCCAGCGTTATGGAACTGTGGGTCCATTAAACCTCTTTTCCTGACCAGCACAGTGGCTCACACCTGTATTCCCCACACTCTGACAGGCTGAGGTGGGCGGATCTGCTGAGGTCAGGAGTTCAAGAGCAGCCTGGCCAACATGGTGAAACCTCATCTCTACTAAAAATACAAAAATTCGCTGGGTGTGGTGGTGCATGCCTGTATTCAGAGCTACTTGGGAGGCTGAGGCAGGAGAATCACTTGAACCTGGGAGGCAGAGGTTGCAGTGAGCCGAGATCGCACCATTGCACTCCAGCCTGGGTGACAGAGCAAGACTTCATCCCCAAAATAAAAAGAAAAAAAAACTTTTTTAAACCCTCTTTTTCTTTATAAATTACCTGGTCTTGGGTATGTCTTCATCAGCAGCGTGAAAACGGGCTAATACACATGCACTTTCAAGTATTTGTTCCAAAAAATACTTTTATTTATTAAACAATATATCCATAATCTATGACATGATCCAAAAATACAGATATACATCTTTACATTATTTAATAAAAAGATTTACAATATTATCTTTCCTTTACAAAGAGAACACAGATAATAATTCCTCGAAAATAAAATCTAACATTCCTGTTAAAGCTGCGTCATCTTTTTGGATGAAATGTGGTTAAGAGTGAACGCCATAAAATACATACAGAGAAAAAAAGAAACTTCAGTAAAATCTCTCCTGAATGGGAACATTTTCTTATGCTTCCCCTGGCTTAAAATTCCTCTCAGCACAGGTAGTGAAGGCCATCACTGCTCACTAAAAATTTAGGAAAACCTTAAGTCTTCAATGTCCATAATAAACATCCCTCACTGCTTTTTTAATTCTAAACCACGAAGACCTAACCTAGGACAGGAGTTCAAGAGCAGCCTTGGCTCTGTGGCCACGTGGGAAGCCACTCTAGGCCAGTGTTATTGCTCAAGGCAGCCCCAGCCAGGGCTCCCGAGGGTGGGACAGGAGGCCAAGTGTGGCAGGGCTGCCAGACAGAGGACGAGCTGGCCGCTGTCCCCATCCGTCCTGGGAAATGCTCCCAGCACCACCCGTCTACACAGCTGCTTCTCATCGCTCCAGGCAGACTGCAAAAACCCAGCCCCCATGGCCCTGGCCAACAGTGGTCTCATGTCCAGCCGCCCAGGGGTCCCGCCCAGCTTGAGATAGGCAGCCTGCTCAGGTGGCCACGCAGGCCTCCGCTCGGCATCCACATCCCTGGCTGCGGCACGTGGGGCACATTCACAGATAGGGAGGGCTGTTTCCCCAGCCCCTGGTTCAGCGCAGCCTGCCTTCCCCTACAGGAAAGCTAGAGGATTTCCTCAGATCGCTGACTGATAACAGCAGCCCTGGAAACAAGGAAAATGGGCAGAGTGCTCCTTCCTACGGAGGTCCGTCGCACAGCCACAGAGGACCCACACCTTCAGCTCAGATGAAGCTGCCAGGGTGACCCACGGGGTCCAGCCCAGACACCCTCAATCCATGAGAGGGGTCTGGAGCTGGGCAGCTGTGGAGAGGGGTCTGGTCCCTGAATCACCCCCAGGGAGAAGGGGGCCAGGCCTTCTGGAGCAAGGCGTGGATGGTGCAAATGTGTGGCACCTGTGTCCCTGCAGGGCTGGGGCCAGGCCAGGGGCCATGACCTTCTTTTCTGGCCAAACAGCCACTCCTGAGTGTGTGTCTCCCACAGGCAGGCACGGCATCAGCCACAGAGCACTCAGGGTTCAGTCAGGGCCCAAACTATAACCCACAGAATTGTCCCATTCTGCTCCTGTTTCTGTGTTTCTTCCAAAACCCTATGCATATTATTTTGGTGATATTGTAAGTGGCAAAAGTAAACACTAAAAACACGTAAGCAAAGAAACTTAAAGAAAAGGCCAAAATTCAGTGCCTGGGATGGTGCACAGTGGCAGGCAGGACCACATCATAACGTGTTAGACAAAAGCTTCCCACACAGAAGAAAGCCAGTCACCTTTCCTGGGAAGGCAGAGAGACCTCAGGAAGCCAGGAGGCTAAAAGCCCGCACCAACCAGCCCAGCTCCTTCCAGGGGGAGCCATGGTGTGAACAGCTCAAAGGTGGAGCGCAAATATCAAATTCACTTTTGAAAAATTGCCAGGCACTGTTTTAGCACAAACTCCCTGCACTTACCTATCTCTCTTCACAAAAATGATAAAAGAGAGAAGAAAATTATGCACAATGTATTCTCCATGATCATTAAATATCTGTGTTAGCAGGGCACAGTGGCTCACACCTGTGACTCCAGCACTTTGGGAGGGGGGCTGAGACGGATGGATCACTTCAGGTGAGGAGTTCGAGATCAGGCTGGCCAACATGGTGAAGCCCCATTTCTCCTAAAAATACAAAAATTGACCAGACAGAGTAGCTCACACCTGTAATCCCAGCACTTTGGGAGGCTGAGGCGGGTGAATCACGAGGTCAAGAGATGGAGACCATCCTGGCCAGCATGGTCTCTACTAAAACTACAAAAATTAGCTGGGTGTGGTGGCACACGCCTGTAGTACCAGCTACCTGGGAGGCTGAGACAGGAGAATTGCTTGAACCCAGGAGATGGAGGCTACAGTGAGCCGAGATCACACCACTGCACTCCAGCCTGGTGACAGAGCAAGACTCCGTCTCAAAAAACAAAACAAAACAAAAAACACCCAACTCCAGCTGAGTGTGGTGGCTCACGCCTGTAATCCCAACACTCTGGGAGGCTGACACAGGCGGATCACTTGAGCCCAGGAGTTTGAGACCAGCCTGGCCAACATGGTGAAAGCCCATCTCCACCAAAAACACAAAAATTAGCTGGGCCTGATGGTGCATGCCTGTCATCCCAGCTACTCGGGAGGCTGACGTGGGAGGATCACTTGAGCCCGGAAGGCGGAGGGTGCAGTGAGCTGAGATTGCACCTGCACTCCAGCCTGGGCAACAAAGTGAGACTCCGTCCCCAGGAGAAAAAAAACAACGAAAACCACACACCTCGTTTCACAGCCGTGGCTGAGGTGTGAAGCGGTGTGGCTGGCCCTCTCCCACCCTTTTCCTTCTGAGCTGCAGGAAGGCAGTGGCTCAGAGGGAGCCCTTCAGGACCAGAAGCTGATGGGACGAGGAGCAGCAGCATGGACCGTGGCCTGCACCTGCATCCAGAAGGTCCACTCCCACCCGCTGCCCCACACCCTCGCCGGCTCCCAGAAAGGACAGGCGGCCCAGAAACATCGGTTTGGCTCAAGAACCGCAGTACAGGAATGTGTCGCCACCCCAACCAGGAATGTTCCAAGGTGTTCTTGTTTTCATTCACTGACCACCAGCTTCTCGTGGGGAGGGCCCCGTCTGAGACACGGAGCTTCACAAGTTCCTCTCCTTAGTAAAACATTAAAAACAGGAGGAAAAGGGCCGGGTGTGGTGGCTCACGTCTGCAATCCCAGCACTTTGGAGGCTGAGGCAGGCAGATCACAAGGTCAAGAGATCATGACCATCCTGGCCAACGTGGTGAAACCCCATCTCTACTAAAAATATAAAAATTAGGCGCGGTGGTGCGTGCCTGTAGTCCCAGGTACTCAGGAGGCTGAGGCGGCAGGACGCTTGAGCTCAGGAGTTCTGGGCTGCAGTGTGCTATGCCGATCGGGTGTCCGCACTAAGTTCGGCATCAATATGGTGACCTCCCGGGAGCCACCAGGTTGCCTAAGGAGGGGTGAGCTGGCCCAGGTCAGAAACGGAGCAGGTCAAAACTCCTGTGCTGATCAGTAGTGGGATTGTGCCGGTGAAGAGCCACCGCACTCCAGCCTGGGCAACATAGCAAGACTCCGTCTCAAAAAAAAAAAAAGTTGAAAAAAATATATAAAAATTAGCAGGGCGTGGTGGCGCATGCCTGTAATCCCATCTACTCAGGAGGCTGAGGCAGGAGAATCGATTGAACCCAGGAGGTGGAGGTTGCGGTGAGCCGAGATCGTGCCACAGCGCTCCAGCCAGGCGACACAGTGAGATTCTGCCACAAAAAAAGAAAACCAGGAGGAAAAGATACAGACGTAGCCATCAGAAGGAAGTGACGTATCATTCGTAATGACTCCCCGCTATGAAGAAAACCAGACTTTTCTTGAACTGGGAACCTCACGCCTCAGTTTTCCCTCAAGTTTCTTTCCGTGGTGTGAGGGCAGAAACAGGCTTCCCTGCATTCCTGGGGAATCCCCTCCTTCCTCTAAACACATAGGACAGGATTTCCGAGAGCCTGCGACGCTCCTGGGAACCACACACTAGTGGCAGCATCGCCAACGTGCCACAACAGAGCAAATACGCACGGCCTTCCCCGCTACCACTGAAAAGGTGGCTCCAAATCAGCTTGGTAAGCACTGACTCAACAAAAAGCACACACGTTTCCTAGCTTCATTCCAGAACTGCTATTGTGGCACAATAAATTCACAACAAATTCACATCAGAGTCCCCTTGGACGGGAGCTGCGGGCCTGGGAACGCACAGCACGAGCAGGGACATTCGTGGTTCGTCAGCTCCAGCAGGCGGGACTCACTTTACAGACACACAGACCCATGATCTTCATGCTATTACGATAATTTCATCTTCACAGTAAAAACGTCACGAATTCCCAGAGAAACGGAACATCAGCCCAGCTGTTGTGCAGTGTCTTGTGGGTGCTGGTCACAGAACCCACCGCTAATCCAAGCTAATGAAGAGCCGTTTACTCCAGAGGTGAATCCCCCGAGGGAGGAGGACTGAAGTCCAAGCTAAAAAGGCAGGGCACAGTGAAGCGGAGGCCACTTCCTCTGGGGAAGAGCCCCCAGCCCTCCTGGGCCTGCCAGTGGTGCCCCAAACAGGAGCGCCCGGCGGCCAGATCCCACGTGGAGTTGGAGTGGAGTGTGAGGAGGCACCCGGCCGCCGAAGCACTGGCCCCACATGTGTGTCTCGGGCGGCCGTGCTCCAGGGGTGGTGGGGTGCACGGAGCTCGGGCTGTACCAAACAGTCCTAGACAACCACAGGAAGGCAATGCCAGGGTGGTGTGGACCAGGGGACGGCATCTCCCCTGCCTGCATGCCTGGCCTGGCTGCCCGAGCTCACGCGTGCCTGTCCACGGCCGGTCAGGCTCCCTGCTGATGCTCAGGGGAAGTCCCGTAAAAGCCACACTCGTGTCATGGCGGCGAGTCCCTGCAAGGTCACCCTTCTGTGCGAACAGGGCTTGGTGGGCTGTTTTAGGAAACATCCAGAATTTCAACTGGACGTTGAGTTACTAAATATCAACCAAACAAGGTAGTTTTAAAATGAAGGGAAATATTGCAACACGAATGAAGGAATAGATTAACTTGCTCCTTGGACGTGGGCACGCAGCTGCTCCTACTTCTTCTTCCTCTTTTCCTGGACACACCGTGGACAGAACCTGTGACGAGAAAGGTGCAGTAAGGCCCTGGGCGCCATTTCCACCAGCGCACAGGGTGCCGGTACCCGCCTCCCCATCTCTCCCAGAGCGGCTAGAGGCCGTGGGCGGGACAGCAGGAGAGACACGCCGAGTGGGGACGCAGCCCTTCTGCAGAAGGCGACAGATACGCATCAGTGAGCAAAACCGATTTTACACCCCAGTGTTCCTCCTGGCCAGGTGGGTCCTTCTTCCCCGGCCGATGGCAGGGTTGGTGGTGCCCTCCATCTGGAGTCCAGCGCGGCTGCAGGTACCAAGCGCACGTGAGCGTGGCAGCCCCTCAGGTGCACAGTCAGCCAGCCCAGCACCCTGCACCAGCCCTGGAAGCTGCTGCCTCACAAGCGCTCCCTGGTGATTCTGGGCTGGGCAGGTTCTGAAGCCGCATACACGGGGGCTCCAGAACAGAGGCCGCCGCTGGCCACTGGGGACGTTCCGGAGGTTCCTACACTGGAAGCAGCCGGCTCACATGTGATGCAGCCATCAGCCCCCACCTGCCCAGGGCCCTCCAACCCCTTCTCGAAACCCTGGTGCATCGCGCCCCGGCCGCACGGTGTGGGGCACTGCGGTGCCATCTGTGCCCGTGGCAGGCCAGCCTGTGTCAGCACTGCGTGATGCCGTGAGCCGGGCCAGACTGCAAGGCATGGCATCCTTTCCCTCTGCGTCCTCACACCGAACACCAAGGAGGACGGCTCTCACCGACCTGGGGCGAGTCTGCCGGAGGTTCAGACACACTGCCACGGTGACCGCTGAGGGTCACACAGAAGGACACGCTCTGATTTCATTTACAGAACATATATCTATGTTTAGATTTTTAGCACAGGCAAACAAAGCCAGGTTTTCATCTTTTTATTTATTTATTCATTTGAGACAGGGTCTTGCTCTGGCGCCCAGGCTGGAGTGCAGTGGCGCGATCTCAGCTCACTGAAGCCTTGGACTTCGGGGCTCACGCATCCTCCCACCTCATCCTCCCGGGTAGCTGGGACCACAGGCACCACCACCACGCCCAGCTAATTTTTGTATTTTTGGTAGAGCTGGGGTCTCCCGATGCTGCCCAGATGACACGGTTTTATTTAAGTGAATCTGAGGAACAACATGCAGAGTTGCCATTGCTGAGGGGAGGCAAGGGTCAGGAAGAGAAGCTGCTCCTGACACCCACGCCCTTCTCCGCCAGACAGTCGGGAGCACAGCCCGACCCACGCCCTGGCTTCGGGGCTCACGCCTGTGTATCTTTCCCAAATCTCCCTGGGGACAAGAACCTCTCATTTCTGATGTAGGAGGATCCCCACCTCCCGCAGTCAGAAAGGCTGTTCTTCAGGAGGGGAATGTGAAAGTGAATATTACGCAACTCGGTAACTGCTGTCCCCGGGTGAGGAAGTCCCTCTGCTAGCTCAGACAGGCACAGCAGCAAAGGGGAGAAACAGCCACACCCAGGGCAGCCAGCCCGCCAGCCACACTCCTGGAGGCCACGGTGGGGCATGCCTACGTGGCTACCGGCCCTAAGCCTGACAAGATCCCGCAACCGAGTGCCCTCTCCCGGGGAGGCCAGCAGTGCAACACCATGCAGCCTGGGAGAAAACAGAGCGAGAGTCCCACACTCACCATTTCCCTTTGGGTTTCGTGGTGAGGTCCACGCAGGCAAAGTGAAACCACTCAATTGGACACTGCAAAATAAAGGGAAAAGGCCCAGTCAACACACCTCGTGCTCTGTACGTGAATCCCAGGAAATGCCAACACCCACCAGCCCCGCCCCACGCAGGACTGCCCCACGGCGCGGACCCCACAGGCCACACTCACGTCTGGATTGTCACAGCCGATCATCTCCCCGTAGGAGACCTGGTGGCACAGGCAGTAGGTGGGTTCGTTGGGGTCCACGGGCATGTCTAGCACGTCGGACGGGTGCACGGACAGGATGGCGTCAGTGAACTCAGACCTGCGGGAGGAGGAGGCACCGCTGACGGCCATGGCGGGAAGTGAGACAGCACAGGCCCTTCTGCCTCTGGCTCAGGGTCCCTTCACCCCAGAACTGCGAAGATGATTATTCCAAAGGGGATATCTATACTGAACTCTGAGCTACACATAACAAATAAGCTTGCTTCCATTTTTCTTATTATCCTTTAGAAATGAAAGCAATTCCCAGGGCCTGCCACTGAAGTCATGCACTGATTGAGCACAAACCTTATGGATGTTTCCTTCTTGGAGCGAACAATTTCAAAACCTCAATAACCCCTCCAACCGTGCAGTGTTCTTCCAAGAATGCACAGCAAGAAAATAATTAAGGAGATGAACAGACTGTCAGCTGAGGGTAGAAAGAACACTGCTACCCACAAAAATTGAGGAACAGCAGCTGGCAGCAGAGGGGTGGAGACCTCACCCCCACCTATGTACCCAGGTGGGGACATGGGGGCACTGGGGGTACCCGAGAGGCTGTGAGATGCAGCGCTCACCCACAGCACGGGGACTCTGGTCCCACTCTGGGGACCTCAGTCCCTCCCCCAAGATGGGACTCCCCCGGGGCCCTCTGGACTCACCTCCCTTCTGAGGCCATCCCTCCAAAGACCCCGGCCCCTTCGGGGACAAACACACGTCACCTCCGCCAGCAGATGGCTGACACTTGAAAGAAGCCTGCTTGCATCCCAACCCAGACTGACAGGTGTCAGAACGGCCAGCACAGAGTCAACAGCTCTCCCTTAACCGTGACCTCCTCCCACCAGAACAGCGTGTGTCCTACGCCCGGGCCCTCAACACCCCACTCAGGCACTCCTGCCCCAACACTCACAAAACCAGCAGCTCCCCACACACGCTCCGGACCACCCCCCACCCACCCAGCTGCCCACCTGGCGCAGGACCCCTTCCGACCACATGCCATTCTTGTCACCCCTCTGTCCCCGCCAGCTCCCACGTGGGTTTCTACACAGCAGGCTGGTGGGTGTTCCCCCCTGGCCACACCTCCCGCCAAGCCTGCCACCTACAGCACCACAGACCTCAGGGGAGACTTTCCCATTTGAAAGGGAGGCACTTGGAGGAAACTGATTCTTTTGTATTTCAGTATTTTTCAAATAAACTTACAAGCTGCAGGTAGTATAAACAGTATATTCCCATTAGTACGGAGAGAAAAAATATCTTCCCTATCCCACACTCCAACCCAAGAATACCTAGCTGCTCTGTAAACACGGCAGGTTAGCTGCAGGAACGTGGCCGTGAGAAGGTAAACAGCCACAGTGAGGGACAGCCACGCAGCAGAAGTCCGGGTCCCAGAGGGAATCAACACTCAGCTTCTCCTTGAATGCCTGTCTAAAGCTTTTCCACGCCTTTGCAATTGCCTGTATGTACACACACACGCGCGCTTAGGCTCAGCACGCAGCCAGCCTCCCCACTGCCCTCTGGCACGGGGCACCTGCCTGTCTGCTTTGCGGGTAATCTGCTCTTCTGCTCTCTGTCTGGGAACAGGTGGGGGTTTCTCTTTATAAATACGTATTATGAAATCCATAAATGCCACAAGTCCACGTCCTGGTGCTGCCAACACTGTTGTCAAACAACCGTCTCAAGTAGCCTTCGGGTCTCTGCTGCGACAGCGCTCCGAGGGTCTACGTCTCAGCCACCTGCCAATTCCGGGCTGCCATCTGTGGCTTCTCCTCCATGGGGCTCCTGCGGTCTCTTTGCAGAGAGCAGGGCAGCACCCTCTGCAGCCAACAGTCCCCAAAGACTCCCTGTGGTGCCATCCTCTTCTGCACTGAGTCTCATTCTGTCTACAAAGCCCAACCCGACATCCCTACTGACTGAGCTGCCATGTGACCTACGTCTCAGCATCACTGGGTTCGAGGGTGCTCACCAGTGGGAGAGGGCTGGGGGCCTGAGGGGATGGCCCAAGCAAAGGCACCCCAGAAGCTGAGGCCAGCATAGAGGGTTCACTGGCCTCTCCAGTGGCACCTGAGGGAGCACCACGGTGCGTGGCCAGGGAGCACTGCTACTGGCCCTGAGGAAGGCTGCCAGGAGGCCATGGGGAGCCCTGTCCCCTGCACAGGCTGGGGCAACCCCAGTTGTCAGCGGCTGCTCCCTGACTCCCTCCGGCACCACTGCCGCAAGATGCACTCTCTGTGCTAATGCCGAGGTGTGGAGGGCACCCCTCACCAGGAGGCACCAGCGAGCCCCTGTGCCCAGCCCGATGGCTTCCTGCCTGTCCAAACTCCAGGATTCCAGGCGCCACAGGTGACACCACCCTTCGTCCACACACACAGGTTCCGTGTTGCCAGAGCAGGGTCACAGGGCAGCAGCAGTGCACGGGCAGCCGTGGGTCACGGGATCTCAGATGAGACTCGAAGTCTGTGCAGTCTGGGAACGCTGCCATTTCAGGAAGGGCCCGGCCACGCGGGGAACAGGCCTGGAGAGGGCAGGCCACAGGGACATGATGGCACATGCTCCCGGGTCCCGAGCAGGGAACAGGACCTGGCTTGAAGTAGAACAGCCTGGCACCACAGCATGACCAAGAGGGGCGTGAAAACCCACTATGCCAATGGGGACAGGGACGTGTGCCACAGAGTCCAGAGCCCAGGGACAGGTGGGCTCCCACACACAGCCAGGAGGATGTCCCTGGAGCCACACGGGAGCACACCCCCACCCTGGCAGGCCCAGGCTTTGGGTCCTCAGGACCCTCCGTCTGCCCACCACACTGCACTACCCTCCTGTCCCTCCTGAAGCTTCAGAGCTGGCCTCACCAGCCCGTCTCAACGTCTTGCAACGGGACAGCAGCAGCACTGACATCCAGGGGCACAGAGAAGGAAGAGATTTGCGCACAAGCCAGATCCAGCCCAGCGCCACGGGGGTCCCACACTTGTCGCCATCTGTGATCATCTTCTCATCTATCACTGCCACAACCTGCCCGGCAGGCAGTGCTGAGCTCCCGGCTCCACTGCTACGCAACAGCGCCATGGCTTCTGTCATGAGACCACGGGATCTTCCTGTGTTTGCACTGAGCTCCCGGCTCTGCACTGCCAGTCCACAGCCCCATGGCTTCTGTCATGAGGCCACGGGATCTTTCTCTGTTTGCGCTGAGGTCCCGGCTCCACACTGCCAGTCCGCAGCGCCACGGCTTCTGTCATGAGGCCACGGGATCTTCCTGTGTTTGCACTGAGCTCCCGGCTCCACACTGCCAGTCCACAGCCCCACAGCTTCTGTCATGAGGCCACGGGATCTTCCTGTGTTTGCACTGAGCTCACGGGATCTTCCTGTGTTCGCGCTGAGCTCCTGGCTCCGCACTGCCAGTCCACAGCCCCACGGCTTCTGTCATGAGGCCACGGGATC